AAAAAAAAATTATCAACAAATAAACTCTTAATCTCAAGCAAAAATCATTTCAATAAAAAATATTACTTCTCAATTGTTGTTGCTACACACCTCGACGATTGTATTTTTTTTTTGATTTTCGACGGTCTTTCGACCTGGAAAAATCAAACTTCGAATTAAATTATTCATAAACTTTAACCGATCTGACCCGAGGATTGTCACTACTCGGTTCCTTTATTAATTCGTTTTCTTTTCCACTCCTTTACGATTCCTTTGTTATTTTAATAAATTATATATATTATATTTTTACACACAAAAATCTGTAGTCGACTTTTTGTAAATTTAATTCAATAAAAATTATACAAATAGTAATAAAAGAGAAATAAATAAATGCTATTTATGACGAAAAATCTTCAACAAAAATGAAAACATACTAAATATCTGTTTTGTGTAATATGCCAATCAAAAATTCGTATAAAAAAACAGAGACTGGGCGTATCGCTTAAATAAAAATTTCACGTTTTGTTAGAACCCAAGGTATTTAATTATGCATAACTTAGGAAAAATTAATTATATATTACCGTATTTTGTATAATTTCTTTAATAATAAATATTACATTTATCTATTCTATAAATATAATTTACATGATAAAATATTGTATACAGATTTGTTAGTTTGAAAGTTTTTGATATGATGTTTCTCTTGTTCAGTAATATTAGAACAATGAAATTCAAAAATTATGTAATTTGATTGGTTAATTATCACGGGTATATAATATAAATATTGTCCAATTATAACGAATTTCTATCATGTTATTAGACATATAAAATTTATATCATCATTATGTTTTTAACTAATTTTCACCCTAGGTGATATCATCTATTATTAAATTATTAAATAAACTTTTAGAAGTTAGGGTTAGAGTTTGAATTCGTATTAGAGTTAAATTAAAGGTTTTATATATGTAAAATTAAAAGAAACCTGAATTAGGTTATTTTAAACCAGAAGTTGGTACAAGGAGACTGAGCAACGAAGTTTAAATACACTACCTGAATGGACGGGTTTTGTTGAAAAGGAGTTCTTTCACATTTATCCTTATAGTCATTTAGTGCTTTTGTTACTTTTTAAGTTAAAACATGGTCAAGATATTTAATTACCACCTTTACCTGAATCAAATGACAGTTTTTTATGCTTAAGGTACATTCTGAATATCTTGAAACTGCATCACAATGTTGAATTAAAAGAAAGATGAATATTTTATTATATGCAAGCCAAATGCCACACCCGATTCTATGAGAGATTTCTTTATGACGCAGACTTTAGTACATTTATCAGAAACAATTTTAAAACCAATTTCGCTCACAGATGAAATGGACATTATGGAATTACGTAATATATTGAAGTTATATTTCATTCTATAATGGAAACAACCATTAAGACATTCATTTTGTATAACGATATAAAAAATTATTGTAAATATTTTAAATTGTGCAATACAATCTAAGATACAATTTTTTGGAAATTTAAGGTAAAGTACTATTTTTTAGATTTACAAGTTCATTGATTAAAAAAAAAAAAACTTTTTTAAATTAATTTGTTTTAATTTTTAATTTTATATACTGTATTGTTTTATATAAATGGACTGTATATGGGCATCATTCGAAACAACGGGAAATTGGTCAAAATTAAAGTATAAATTTGGCAGAACTAGAGCTTAATTTGGGCAAAATTTGCATATAAATTTTGGCAAAATTAAAAATAGAATCAGTTAAATTAAAGATTCTTATCCCTACAACTATTGAAAAGTATTGAAAAATAATAAATTATAATGAATAAAAATTTTTCATCAAATCAACTAATTGAAAGAATTCAATTCATTTTCATAGAGATATAAGTAGGAAAAATTACATTCAGATGACAATGGAAGACAATACTGTACATATCAAAATCATATCGTTTAAATTAAACTTTTTCTGAATAATCTGCAGTTAAATATAAAAATCTTTTATGAATTTAAAATCGAATTAAATTTATTTATTTATATTGGTGATCTATTATTTACATCTCTTTAGTATTTTAATAATAATAAATTCGAATTATTAATTAGCCAATTTTATATAGATTGCTAGGTGCTGAAAAAATCAACAATTTTTTAAGAAAAGAATACCTTATGTTTTTGTAAAATTTTGCACTGATGGAAGAATTAATCACTAAAGAAAATTATTTTAAAAAATTTGAGGAAGCTTTAAAATTACATAAATCAAGAGATAAAAATAATAAAAAAACTGAAGTAAAAAAAAAAATCGTAAGCTCTTTAATGAACTCTATGAAAAAAAATATTATGAATTAGATTCTTCAGGTCAAATAGCCTATTGGATAAGCTATTATTTTACAAAAAGATATGGATCTGACCAGAATCCAACAGAGGAGAAAATTAAAGCTAGAAAATTATTAAAAGTAGTAGCTGATAAAAACATGCCAAAAGCACAGCATGAATATGCAGTTTCATTTTTAAAGGATGGAAATATATTACCTGGTTTTGAAAATAAATTTTTGAATATCTTAACAAAGCAAAGGACAACAAATATACTTCATCTCTGTATCTTTTAGGTAAAATTTATTGTAATAATAGTAAGAAATTATTAAAAAAAGGACAACCAGATCAGGGTTATAAATTATTGGGAAAAGCCTATTTGGAAAAAGCAAGCTTACAAGGAAGTAATGAAGCAAAAAATTTATTATCCAAAATTAAGGATTAAATTAATTGATCAACTAGGATAATCAAATTTTATTAATTATTTGTATGTTTAATCATTTTAATCAGATATGAAAATGAAGTATAACATGTGTTCAGTAAAGATTTTTCTTTTCTCAAATTATAAATGAGAGAAAACCTTCAATTCACAAAGCTGATTGGTTAATTCTTTAGATTACCTAGAACGAATATAAAAATAATATCAATAAAAATCTCAAATAATCATTTCGCTTTGATAATAAATAAATTGGAAGTTCTTACTTGTGCTGGTGGCTGTTTGCAGGTGATGTGTGTGTCTGGTGTTGATTAACGAACTGTCTTTAATCCTTACGATAAATATCATTTCGTTTTAAAACCTCTACATTCTTTTTTTTTTAAAAAATTTTTTTATTATCATTTTTGTGCAATTACTAACGATTCTGACCCGCAATACACGGTTACTTTTGAACATGATTGTCATAGCAAGTTGAAAATCGATAAAAGGGAATTCAATGAACAAAACTATGCGAATGAAGATGTGGGTATAGGAAGTAAAAATACCATTTGTATAAAAACGATTTCTTTGTTAATTATTTGTAATCAGATTTAAATAAACAACATTTACTAAAATAAAATCAATAAAATGAGAGTATTATTTATTAAAACAGAGAATGCAATTTTTAATTTTAATATTGATATTATGAACAGAACTAACAATGTATTGTTCTTTAATTTGTGAATAGATATTAATAGAAATATTTATTGTATTCATGGATACCGAATTATTCCAATTTAAAATGATTCATAATAATTAATTAGAAATGTGAACTGCAACTATAGTTTTGTTATAAATTCTGTAAATATTTTTCTCTGAAAATCAATTTTCAAGGATTTTCAACAAAAAATACTTAAAGTTTGGAAGTTGTTGCTTATTTAAAATATGTCAATTTTTAAAT